CAGCAGCTTCACAGTCATGGAAAGTGGAAGACCACTCTCTGGGTACCAGGACCCTTCAGGGACCCTAGCCAGTACAGCCCCACTCTTCCCCCCAGAGCACTTACTTTCTCTACTAGTTTCAGCTGCCTATAGCCTCCTGGCTGGGGATGGGAGAACTGGGAGAAAAACCAGTCTTCTGACTCCAACAAGAGAGATAGGAGAGGGACCAAGGCACATACCTTCCACTCCAGGGCACCCCTGCCTCAAGCCCTAGGTCTGGCATCCAGCAGGTCATTTGGAAGGGGTGAAGACTTCTTAGTCTATTTGTATTCCAACAAACCAGGCCCCTGGCTCATGTATGGCACTTCCACAGGTGTCCCAGTTTCCTTTTAAATCAGTCACTGATTCCCCCTAATCCACATGGGTGAGCCATTGTGTCAAGCTGCTGGGTAATGCAGAGGCTGGAGTGGTGACCCCTGCCTTCTGGGTACTCACGAGGGAGAGGGTGGTACTGGAAGGTTGTCAGGCTAGGAATGGACTGGCTGATACAGAGATAGATAGCACTGTGAGAGTATTCATGTGAGCATATGAGTTTGTGCATGTGATTGTGTACACTCGTTCACATGTATGTGTGCATGTGTGTGAATGTGTGCATGTAAGAGAGTATATGTACATATGTTCACACACGGGAGGAAGTTGTGCATTGTGCATATGTGTACATATGTACACATGTGTGCCTGTGCCTGCTCTGTGGGTCTGGAGGGCCACAGGCAGCCTATAGACCCAGAGAGAGCAGAGATGGCTGGAGTTGGTCCCAGGGCAGGACAGACCCGTGGGCCCTGGGCCAGAACCAGGAAGACTTGTGGGTCCACACTTCTTGGTGGCTGACCTGATGTGCTGGGCCATCCTCTGAGGTGATGTTGTGATGCGGCTTCTGCCTGTGGGAATGGTGCACCAGAGAGTGCCAGTTAATGTGAAGGAATGAGCAACATAAGCTCTGCTTTACAACATTCTTTAAAAATCCAGCTGAGAAGTCAGCACTTTCCCCTTCAAGTAGAAGAGACTGACCCTCAGTTCTGGATCACACCAGTAAAATGTCTGGTTTCACATAAGGCCTTTTCATTCTGGTTGCTCCAGTTGTGCTGGAGCACTTAACCAGAGGCGACACCAGCCCATGGCACCTCACGTCCCGTCCCTTTCGGATTCAAGCCTCGTCCAGGGCTGTGGGGTCTCCTGCTCTGCCCAGCAAGGTGATGGGCCCTTCCACAATTCTAGGAACTTCGGACACTCCAGTTGCCGAAGTCCAGGCAGTCTCACAGAATGGCTGCATGGGTAGGGAGGGTCCTGTGTGGCTGTGTTCGTTGAGCCCCACGGTGGCTCAGGTTCCCCGTTGAGTAGGGAAGTCAGGGGTTGGATGCCATGTGAGTGTTTATGTACGCCTGCCCACGTTTACAAACACACAAATACGCATTTTATTTATGTGCACACGTGTATGCACAAGAGCACGTCTGCCTGTGTTCACACACACATGTGTGCTTACTCAAGTTTATAGATACATGGATTGTTGGGTGGGGGTAATAACAAATGACAGACAGGTGAGAGAACGTGCAGCCTCATCTCCTCTCCTCCTCTCAGGTGAGAAAGGACCTCTTCTCATCTCCATGATATTCATGATTTTGTGAGCCGTGTGTGTCTGGGTGAGGCTCAGAACAAAGACCTTCACACACCACTCATTCCTGAAGTCCTGGGCCCTTGGCTAAGGCTCCAGTGCTGGGGTTACATGGAAGGATGCAGGTCAGAGACAGAAAAACTGGAAGTCAAAGCAGATGAGCACTGACGAGGAGGTTTGGTTCCAAAGACGTTTTGGCACTGAGCATGCGAGGACACTGAGGCAGGCACCAGGGGAGGGTGCCAGTGGGGCAGCCTGCAGGACTCAGCATTCTGGGCAGTTTGGGGGTGAAGATGCACTTGCTGGCCAAGGGACAACACTTGGGGTGGCTTTAGGGATGGAAGGATCTCAGACAGTGAGTAGGGATTTGTGGAGACTCGGATTCCTCTGCTGCCAGTGCCCAGTGCCTGTGACACACGCATCTCAGATCTGTACCTCTGAGTCACACGTGCAGCGGGCCTGTGCCTGGTTCAGGCTCCCCTTTCCAGCCTTCTCTCGCTTTGCTATTCCCTTATATAGTCTAGGGGCAAAGAAAATCAGTGGTTAGTTCAATTTTAAACTTCATGTCATTAAGAAAAATATTAGCTAACACTTTTTTTTAAAGTTTAAGCAATATGATGTGTTATATGTACTTAATGTATTCTCTCTCTCTCTCTCTCTATATATATATATATATGTATATGTTTAAAAGAAAAGTTTTAAGAAAATATAACAAATATGATCCTAAAAATATGCTTACAACATTTTATGAAACAAATCAAATTTAAGAAATAATGCTGTTGTACCAGAAAAGAGAAATAACTACTTGGAAAATTCCAAAATAGGAAGTATCTCTGGCCTTTTGAAAACCTGAATGATTTTGCTTCCTTAGGAAGGTTATTTCATGTCTTTGAGGGTGTTCAGTTACCTGCAGACAGCTTCTCCTGTATTCACCACCAAGTTCTGGTTGCCGACTTGTGGGGGGCACTTGGGAGCTGAGCCCCAGTGCTCCCCACTGTACTTCCACCTGGTGGCTTCCTTGGCTTGTGGGGTCCCAGGCAGCACCACTGCTGGGCTGGGATGCAGCTGAAAGTGCAGTTATCTGTATTGTGTAGAGGCTGAAGGGCTCCTTATTGGGTAGTAGGGTCAGTCCCTAGACAGGGCCTGTGGAGATTCCTGAAGCTGAGGTAAAGAATTGACCAAAGCACCATAGAATGTCTGCGGGTTCGCTGACTCCAGTCCTGGAAAAAGAATTTTCAGGACACATCAGTAAGAGACATAAAGTGATTTATTAGGCAGAAATTTCAAGTATGCACTCAAAGAAATAGAATGCAGGAGAGAGAGAGAGATAGAGTCTTATTTCCTAGACCTAGGATCATTTATGCTTGTCTTGAGGGGTGGCCCAGGAAAAGGTGGGCCACCCTGTAGTTTTTCAGATAGGTAATTAAAGCATTCTTTGGATTGTCTCAACCGGTTCCATTGTCTTAGGATCAGGTTCCTGATTCTTTCTCATTGAAGCCAATTTGTGGACCTTCCTATGGTATTCCTGAGGAATTTTGAGTTTGATTGGTCTGGAAGGAAGAAGCTTAATTTAACCAAAGGAAGCTGATATGGATGCTGGGGTGACTTCCACGGGGTTCTGGAAATCACAGTCTCCTTTAAGTACAGTTGTTAGTCATGGTCTCCTTTCTGCCTACCTCTTATTTCCTCTATCCTGCTGGTACCTCAGGATCCTTCTGTCCTAAAGCAGAACTGGGATGGTGGGTGGGGTCTGGCCAAGGATTTGGGGAGTCATTTGGTCCCCTGTTTTGCCCTGGCCTCATGGCCTTTGTCACTGCACTGTGAGCCATTCGTCCTCATCTGCAAGTGAGCTGGGCCTTTTCCTGTGCCTCAGTGTTCCTGCCTGCCATGGTGTCTTCACTTTCAACGTACAAGTTTTAATTCTGTTTTGCAGTGCTTCTCTTTTTTTCTCTTGCTATTTTCTGCCCCCTCAACAGTGCATGCATGCACACACACACACACACACACACACACACACACACACACAATATTTGACAGAGAAAGAGCTGGGCACACTCTTGATCCTGTGTGCGCCCCATCCTCACACCGGATGGGGCTGTGGGGCAATGTGTCCTCTACAGAAATTGTCCCCGGGAGCCATCCTGGCTTTGTGTGACCACAGCTTGGGATGGGGCATGCGGTGGACCTACTGAGGAGGGATAGCAGCAGGAGGCTGCGTCCTCAAGGCTCTGCTGCCTGTTCCACACAGCTGGGCCTGTTGTCCTCTGTATTCTCCACTTTACGAAGTACCAGAGAAATCACAAGATGCTTGTGGACTAAGGGTTGTTTTCTGCTAGTCGCACTGTCGTGGTGAGCGTGTAGACAGTATCTGACCAGCCATTAGGAGCAGCCTGGCCCAGCCAGGGTGATTCTGCTAATTACACTTGTTGCATTTGAATGGTATTCTTGGCCACACTGGCAGAGAAACTTTTGTGAACAATGAAAGAAACCATTTCCCTTCGTGGCAGGGTCTGCAGATGGCTGCCCTTGTGGGAAGCACTAGACCCTGAATTAGTCCTTTGTGCGAGCCAGAGAAGGAAATTTGAATGTTTGAAGCCCCCCACAAAGCTCATCTCAAAGTGCACAGTTCTTGAATAAAGACTAATTGGGGCCCAATTCGTTAGAGGGTGTGGCTCGGAGGGCTGTGAACAGCGGGGTCTGTCACTGTGGACAAATGGAAGAGAGCTAGCTCAGCTTGGTGGCTGTGACCACCTCTGTGTTCCCACTTCCTAGGCATCAGGGCAGGCCACTGCCTCTGGGGTGTCCCCACAGATCCTGGTGGCCTCTGCAAGTTAATATTTATACTTCCTGGGTGTCTGTGTTCCTTCTGCAGAGCGGCCCCAAGTGCTAGTGACTTTCTGTTACTGAGTTGTCAGATGCAGGTCTCACGTCAGAAATGTGGGTTACAGACTGTGCAGTTGCGGGGGTGGGGTGAGTGGGGGGTGCGATGAGAAGGCAGAGCAAAATGTTCAGTGGCCTAGTGTGCACCTGGGGGCCCGATCGCTGGACCCAGGTGTTGGAGGCCAGTGTGGGCCCCACAGTGTGACATTGTCTCACAAAACAAGTTCACAGCTCACTGGCACCACTAGTTATTTTTCCTCTGCCTTCCACATGGTATTGACACTTGGTTCTTTAGGCAAAGCAATGCTTTTCAAGCGCATCTGTGTCCTCACGACTCTTGGCTTCCCAAGTGTGCTGTCCCAAGGCCACTGTGCGGTGCGTAGTTAGAATGTTTCACAGGATGCGTGCTGACCTTTCTGCTTTCTGAGGACCAAACCTCAAGTCTGTCTTTCTTGCCTTCCTCTTCCCACAGATGGTGTGTTTGGAAGGTGCCAGAAGGTTCCAGCTCTGGACATATCACGCTATGAAGTGTCACCCGTGGCCCTGCAGCACCTGAGGGTCACCTTGCAGGCGCTGTCTCGCACAGGTAGGGCTGGGCAGCTGCACCCATGCAAGCACCCATGAGGTCTCTAGGAATGAGGAGGTGGGAGAACCCCATGAACAGAAGCCTGGTATCCAGAAAGGCCGGGGTCTACAGCGGAAGGCTCTTGTGGTGTCTTGTTTGTGGGCCGTGGGTGGAAATCACAGGGGATGAGGAACAGTTGCTGAGGCTTCTGTTGAGAGGTGGGTTGGCTGGCGGGGGTTGGGTCCATGCACACCACAGGCCGACGGATGAGCCATAGCACAGTCGGTGTTGGCCCAAGGCTCTGTGCAGTACCATGTACTGCAGTTTGGTGGCCAGAGATCCCTGTCCTTGTTTACTTCACAGGAGTGCTAAGATCATTTAACAAGTTACAGACACTTTAAAGGTATACATTATTGCACTGCATATGCAGCTTCTGTTGCTCCTGACCTAATTTTCTGCGTGTATAATTATGCATGGAGGGGGCCATCATGAGGTCACATTCTCATGACCTGTTCCCAACATGGTCATGTCTCCTCTTGCTCTGAACAAGAGCCAGGCTGTGGTTGCATGTAGTGTCACAGCTCAGAGTGGCACAGAGTAAAATCCTTTGTTTCACAGTTGAGACTTAAATATCTGTCATACTGGGGAGTGAGGCAGAGGTGGAGCCAGAGACCCTGCAACCCAGGGCTGGAGCTTCAGCCGGCATTGCTGGTCATAGCACACCTGGACAAGGTGTGCTTTTCCACAGAGAAGGCCTGTGGCCAGCAGGCTTGGAGGCTCCCTCTGCCCTCTCTGCAGTGCTCACGGGGTGCTGGTTGATCAGGGGCCTCAGGGAGCTCTGCTGATGGCTGTGCAATTTGTTGAGGCCAGGCCCCTGGGTGAGAACTCACTCTCTCCCCACACTGTGTTCTGTGAGGTTTGCTCATAGTAAGCAGGGGTTGGTCAGAGAGAGGTCATCAAGCTGGTGTCCAGATGGACAGTTGTTGCCCTGTTGTGTGACCTTGACCTGTTGGAGAGGGTAAGGGTAGTGAGGGCAGCGAGTGTGACAGGGGTGAGGGCTGCCCAGAGTTGCTCTGCCAAAGATACCACTGGCTGATTCTGTCCCTTTCACATCTTGTAACTGAAGTCATGAGTACAAAGCTAACTGCATGAGTACTACAGAGATACCAACATATTGTGTCTTAAATGTAAAGGGACGAGAAGAAGGAATAAAGTGAAGGTGTGTTCTGATATATACAGGGACACATGCAGATCCTAGCCCAGCCCAGCCTTGTCTGGCTGCTGTCAACCTGCTTCTCTTCACCTGCCCACACACATGCCAACCTCCCTGGGGCTCCCGAGGTGTATGCAGTCCTTTTGAGCTGTTCCCAGCCTGTGTGCACCAGTGTCTTTTACTTTTTCATTAACTGAAGTCATGGGACCTGGGATACAAAGAGAATCTGTGCATCTCTGACATAATTCTCCTAACTCCAGATGGATAGCAGCAAAGTACTCTCCCCTGATGGAAGTACTCTTTTTTTTTTTTTTTTTTTTTTTTTGTACCAGGGATTGAAATCAGGACCTTGCGCTTGTGAGGCAGGTGGCAACACCACTGAGCTAAATCCCTGGCCCCCGAAGCACTGTTCTTTCTAGAACTGACTTCTAGACCAACTGAGCATAAATTCCTGGGGACAGAAGTGGAAATTTTGCTAGTGAGTGACTTGGAGTAAAGGTGACTAGTTCACCTCTTGGTTCCTAGGCTAGTGAATCCTGGCAAGTTGGATAAAGAATACCATGTACTGGGTGCCAATTCAGAGCATACCAGCTTCCTGGAGAAGTTTGGCCAGCCCTGCAAGGTGTTAGGATTGTGTCTTCCAAAGGCCATTCTACTTTCCGTCAACCCTCGTTCTAGGGTGGCAGGAAGCAGGACAAGGCTGCTGGAGTCTTTGGTGTACTTCTTTGGCTGTGGATGCACTTCTCTGGCTGTGAACTGAGTCCTCATCCAAAAGCCATGCTGTGTGGAGTAGTCTAACAGTTCATGGACTGAACCCTCTGAAACCATGAAACCTTTCCTCCTGTAAGTGAGATATCTCAGACATCTTGTCCCAGTGACATAAAGCTTTCTAACACACTACCCCCACTCAGCCCCTGGCACCACTAATCTTTTTGTGTCTCTGAAGTTTCGCCTTTTCCAGGAAGTCATATAGTTGACAATGGCCTGGCTTCTTTCAGTTGGTAATGTGCATATAAGTTCCCGTCACATCTCTTCATGGCTCAGAAGCTCATTTCTGATCACTGCTTACCATCCATGGTTTGGGTGCTCCAGAGTTTCTCAGCCATTTATCTACTAAAGGAGGACACCTTATTTGCTTCCAAGTTGCACCAGGCATGAGTAAAGCTGCTTTAACATTCATGTGCAGGATTTTTGAGAGGACCCAACTTTCTACTCATTTGAGTAAGTACCACAGCGTGGGATCACTACACACATGGCAGCAATATGTTCAGTGTTATAAGAAGCTGCCACCCCGTCCTCTAAGGAGATGTGGAGGCATAGGTGAGTCACCAAGCTTCTTTGACACTCAATTTGTAAATGTGAATAATCAAACAGTTGCTGTGAAGGTCAAATGAAATAAAATATTTAAGACATTTTATAAATACTAGTATTCCCAAATGTGAAATATTATTTTATTTTGAAACTTTACTTCTAAATTATGGTAGCTGTTATACAGATCATTTGTACTTACTACTTTGAAGTGGGAATATAGCAATTTTTTTCTGTGTTGGTTGTTTTTGTGCATGAGGTCAAATAGCAGGAAAATAACGATTTTCCATGGGTGAGGACACCTTCTAGTTCTTTCTGAGATGACAGTGATGATGAAGATGGGAATGCATTGCAGTGTGTTTGCTCCTTGACAGATGTTCATCCTGTGATGCTGTGGTGTGGGCCTTAAGTGGGCAGCCCAGACTCTCACACTGAGGCATTTAGCACCCCTCGCAGGGTGTCAGATCAGGGATGGAGCTTGGGAAGACTCCAGGTTCCTTTACCATCACTGTCAGGGCACCAAGGACTGAATGGTCAGCTCTTGTGTGTTTTGTCAGTGGAATACGACACAGGAAGCAGCCTGGTGGTGATCACACCACGTTTCCGGCCATGGTTGCGCTCTGGGCCAGATGTGCTGGTGGCTCCTGTCACCCCTTCCTTCAGGCCTGTGCAGAGGCTGGTGTTGGGAGCTGTAGAGGATCGATCCTTGCAGAAAGAGGAATTGGGGAGGCAGGGAGGGTGGTGTGGGACACAAGGGGATGGAGCAGGTCGCACATTTGACAGTCCTAAGGAGGCCTGTCTCTTTTCTCTCAGAAAAAGACACCGTTTGGGAGGATATGAGGTACACTTTGTAAGTACATGGAGACAAAAGCTACACTGAGTCGCATACCACCAAGCATTTAGTGAGTCTTATGGGTGCCTAGTACGAGACTTTATATCTGAGAGTTATTATTATTATTATTATTTCTTACCATATACCCATTTTTAATTCAAACCTTCTGTTATAATATGATGGCTGATCTTAAGCATCACTGTGGCTAGGGGACACCTGGTTGACTCGGGGCTCGTGGAGGAGGCTGGTGTGGGCAGCTTCTGGCTGCTTGGGAAGACCTGGCCCCTGGAACTCAAAGGCAGGATGTGGGGTTCCTTTCTCTCTCCTGGTGTAGAGCATCCCTGTTCCGGATAGCAGAATTCCCAGCTCTCTGGCCCTGGGACTTGGGATTTCACATTGACTTCTCAGTATCTCCCCTTTATCTTTATACTGAGCATTACATCTCCAGCATCCCTGGTTCTGAGACTTCTAGACTTGGGCTGAGCCAGGCTTCCAGCCTACAGATGACCTATCACGGACTTCTTAGCTTATAATCCAGAGAGTAATTCCTTTCCCTGCTCCTCACCTCCCTCCCTTTCTTTTTCTCTCCCACCATCTCTCCATTACTTCTTTCCTTCCTTCCCTTCTTATTTCCCTCCCTCTCTTCATCTCAGTGGCCCATCTCTAGAGAACCCTGATTAATACACACAGGTTTAGGAATGGCCTCATTGTATTACTTGTACTTTTTTTAAAAAGTTAAAAATCTTTGGCTTAAACTGCCACTACTGAATTCTATAAGAACTTTAGAGAAGATCTAATACCAATGCTCCTCAAACTCTTTAAAGAAATTGAAAGGAAAGCAGTACTCCCAAAGTCATTCCTGGGAGGAAACATTAATTACTCTGATTCTAAAACCAGAAAAAGGACCCAACCAAATAGAAGTACAGGCCAATTTCTTTAATGAATATAGATGCAAAAATCCTCAAAGATACTGGCAAACAGTATACAGCAAATCAACAAAGATATTATACATCATGACCAAGTAGGATTTATTATAGGAATGCAGGTATGATTCAACAAATGCAAATTAATAAATATAATATGCCTCATAAACAGAAGCAAGGATAAAAAAATCATATGATTTTCTCAATAGATGCAGAAAAAGCATCTGACAAAATCCAACATCCATGTGTGATTAAAAACCCTGAAGGAAATATGTATAGAAGGTCTTTATCTCAGTGTGTTAAAAGCCATTTATACAATCCAGTGACTAATGTGATATGATTAACAGAAGCTGAAAAGTTTCCTTCTAAAATCAGGAAAAAGACAAGCATACCTGCTATCACCACAACTATTCAGTATAGTTCTTGAAACATTAGCCAGAGCAGTTAGACAAGAGAAGGAAATAAAAGGAATAGTGTGATAGTTAACTGTTGTGGAAACTTGAGTGAGGAAAGCTGGATGATTGGATCAGCACAGTACTGGGTGTGGGCGATGAACTTACTGAAGACAGAAGCCCCACCCTGGGTGTGAGTGGCACCAGCAGTAGGTTTGTAGCCTGAGCAGAATAAGAAAGGGAAAGAAGAAGGTGGTTCCCTTCTATTTCTGCAGAAGAGCTTCAGTCTTCACCTTTACCTTGGATGTAATCTCCTGGCCTCCAGTGCAGACCCTTTGGCCACCTGATGTGTA